CAGAAGTCATAATTTATCTCTTTACAGAAATTAGTGATAGAAAAAAGATCGGTAGTAAAGAAGGCAGTTCACAATGCCAGGGAAATTCATTGCCTAAAGAATGATATGAAGGGTCAGCAAAAGAAGCCACCCAATTCTAATGAGCCTGGGCTATAGTTACTGTTGAGGACAATCCAAGGCAGTTGCTAAGGATAAAAAGGTGTGGGTTTTTTTCATTGTTGTTTGTTTTTTAACAAAGCTTCCAGATAATGCAAAAGAGTTATCTAGAGACCTAACCAGTTGGGCACAACCCTGACACCTGAGGGCCAGGAACCATATCCAGGCCCTTCCTTCTCAGAGTACAACCTAGAGGAAGATTTCTATATTAGCTTCCTTAGCTGTAAAGTGGGGCTGATATCAATCAAATGGTGAATGTGTTCTTATTTTGTATTATTTCCCATCGCTCCTCCTAAATGTTACTAACTGGTCTAGCTCATGGCTCAATAATGAAGTTGGGGATATTCATTACAGACTCTGCTTTGTTACAACTCAGTCCCCAGCTCCCCCCTCCACCAACACCTTCCACTCCAAAGCTCCATGGACCTTATCGCTCTTGGTCCATAATCTTCACCATGGTAAGGATGTGTTCAAGTGTGTGTGGGAAATGTTTGTGTGCACACACATGTACCCATGAGCTTACCAGTGCTTGCTCAGCAACCCTGGAATTGCTCCACTCCACTCTCTACCATCCATTTACCACCTGCTCTCTCACTCAGTTGATTTCTGGGCTTCATACCTGTTTTCTCCTTTGTTGCCTAGACCTCTTGGAATAGGAACTTGATTTCTCTTTGTGGCCTAGCTCCATCCAGCACTTCCTCTAAATACAGTTTTCATGAGCTATTTGTGTTCTTAACTCTAAGCGTATACAACCTTGAAGACTCCTTAGTGGATGCTCTGAGACTGGCCTACAGTGACTATTGGGCTAGGGAGGGAGATGGGAGTCTATTTTTATTGGTCTAATACCTTCATCACAGCTTCAGTAAATGAACTCCAGAATAGTGGATCACATGTTTCCAGAATAGGAAACATATAAAGAGGTTGCACAGTCTTTTTAGTGCAAATCAGGCAATGAAGTATTAGTTGCAGCAGGTGGGAGGGGTGAGTAGAGGTGGCTTTACCATCGAGTTAATATAGATTAAGCTTCAGGGTCCCTTTTAAGGTCTTGTATCTATTTTTTGTGATTTAATTTTGATGTCAGTTTCTCAAAGAGATCCTGAAAATGATTAAGTCTCCTCCACCCCTTCATTCCCAACTTAATCATTCCACAGAGTAGAACAGCATAGCTGCGGCCATTTAGGTGAACTGAGCCTGGTGATGGTGGTGCAACCTGAAGGCGAGGCTGCTAAAATCTCCCCGCCCCATGAAACAGGGATTTTACATCAAGTGGCATTGTTCTGCTTTGCAGCTTATCCTCTTAGGCTGCAGGAAACCTTTGCTCAGGAACAGCCACATCACTCCTAACAGCTTCTTGGACCTTGGTTCCCGGATGCTGTTCAGATCTCATATCGCCAAACTGTTACTCAAATCTCTCTCAGACTTGGCATTCCATGCCCATAATGTAGCTCAATCTTATCTTGACTTCAGCCAAAGTGATGCTCCCAGTAGTGTCCTTGCTGGCAGAGATTAAGGTTCATGTTGTTATATATCCAAAGATATGATGTTTATATGATTTAAGCCTAAACTGGTTAATAAGTATCTACCATTGAAGCCTCAAGAGGAGGTAAGGTTACCCAGATTAGAATGACACTATAAAGAGATACTGCTGAGTTTTCCCCTTTCTGCACTCAATTTTTTATTTTACAGAACTTGGTTGAAATAAGTATGTGAATTTTGTCTAATACTTTCATTGGAAATACCTAATTTTACTTTTCATAAATCACAGAAACTTAAAAGCAGAAGAAATTCCAGATCTCACATAGCTCGATATTCCACGGAATTCATGAATCCTATCCACGACATACGTGGTCCAACATAGACACCATCTAACTCTTGTCTAGATGTGTCACATGGCAGTCCATTCAACTGTTCAACACCTCTAACGATAAGAAATCTACCTCTTGTTAGGCTAAGGGTAGTTAGTATACCCCACTGTGTATACCCCCTTTAGGGGCATCCACAGTGCACCCTCCAGGGAGAGGCTCTGCAGTCATAAATCCACTCTGAAAATCTTGGAGTAATCCCAGGACAATCCATGAAGTCTTGAATAGACAAGACAGAGTCAAATCTAAGATAACACGAGAATGAGATATGACTTAGAGGAAATATGAGTTGATAATAGTGGTTATGGGTAACATTCACAGTATTACTATAGATCAGAGGTCATGCAGGCAGCACGTAAGTGCTTTATATTTTTTTAGCCATTTCTCACAATATTTTCATGAAAAATATTGTCTTCGTTTTCCAGTTGTAGAAACTGAGGCACAGAGTAACTGGCCCAAAGTCATGCAGCTAGTAAGTGAAAGAGCTAGGATTTGAATCCAGGCCGATTGGACCTGGAGTCTGGACCCTTAACCAGTATAGTAGACTACCTTTATCATTGTAACTAGCTAAGAATGTCTAAACTACTTGCCAGGTGTCACTAACTTATTTGTTTCTCATAATAGCAATCCTATGAAGCATGAATGTTAGAGAACAGCTAAGTAACTTGCAGAAGATCTGCAGCTAGTGAGTACTGAAGTTGGGACTCAAACCCAGGTAGCCTGCCTCTAGATCTGATGCTCTTCTCCTTTCCTCTAGATGCCCTTGGTGGTACAGTCCTTGTGGAGGATGGTAGTGTCCCATACAGAGCTTTGCCCTGTGCAGGGAAGGCAAATGACAAGGTAGGCAAGAGTAGGACAGGCACCTGCTGGTAAATATGCAGAGGGAAATTAGGTGCCAACTGGTATCCAGGATGCCCAGAGGACTCCCCAACCCAATCCTTCTTGTAAAGGACACAGAAAGGACAAATTATCTATAAACAGAAGGAGCCTAACCGATCAGAAAGAATGGCTTTCCTGCCGGAGTACATGTAGGAAGCTGCTTCTATGGAGAGGAAAATAAGCCTAACATAATTTGCCAGTTTCTGGTTTCAGAAAGGGAGTGGGAAGTTTGCAGATACCTGAATGTTGGCTGTGAACATGCGGAATGGAGTACAACTGGGGCAGGCAAAGGAAGGTCCATTTAAAATTCTACCCATTGGATTCCTTTTTTGAACAGCTTTTGTGTGAGTGTGTGAGCTCTGTAGGTTTCATGGTACATGAAGGACTTAAAAATGCCTCTAAATATTGAATAAGTTGTGCTAAGTGATGCAATTGGCCCATTTTCCAGAAATCCATAATATAAACTTCTTAACTAGGACCGAAGTCCTCTGGATTCCACATTTAGTTATTTGTTCATTCAGAGAATTTCTCTCAGTAATATGAAATAATACCTAAGTAAATGTTTAGAAACTCATGTTTGCAGAGGAAATTTATATGTGTTTTTCTTGGGGGGGGGGAGAAAGGATTCATTGGCAAAGCAAATGATTATTTTAAATATTCAATGTTTGTTAGCTGTAGTCATTCAGTAAATACTCATTTAACACTGCATTTAAGATTAAATCTATTGTGAGAAGCTCCTAGTTTCAATTTCCGTTTAATACTGAGTATTTGGAGTCTTTATTTTTTTGAATTTTGTTTCTCAAGAAGTAGCAGGCAGGCCGGCTGGTGTGGCTCAGCGGTCGAGCCTCGACCATAAACTCGGAGGTCGCTGTTCCATCGGGGTCAGGGCCCAGCAGGGAGCGGGTAGGAGGCAGCGGATCAACGACTCTCATCACAGCTGTTTCT